CCCAACCTCCCTGCAGCGAACCAGCCATCAAACCGCAGACTGGCAGCACTGATTTTCCCATTTATGTGTCACCATTCTCTTTGTGCCTGCCGTACTCTCCCCTGCCTAAGCCCTTTCTTTCTCTCTCTGTTTTTTTCTTTTTTTCTTTTTGTCCTTATTTCGCACTTCCTCTCCCGTTCGTTCCAAAACACGACCTTGCTCTGGATCTCCCCCGCCCACCGCTCCGCCGTAAGACCGGCTTCCCTCACCTTTCTCTCCCCCCTCGCCCCCTTCACGCTGTCTGTGCCGTCCGTCAGGGGGACGCGGAGGCCAGAGGGGGAGTGAACCTCACCCCCGCTGACACGGGGTGACAGAGTGCGCGTGTGGAACACAACTCGAGAGGGGATCGAGTGTGTGTCAGCCGTGTCACCACTGCTCGATTGACCGTACTTGGAACAAGTCAGGGGAGGACTTCCACTCTATTGACCAGGCAACGCTGTACGCTCTATAAAGTATTGACTTCCACACAGATGCCCGAGTCACTGGTGCACACACCTTATCTGGCCCACGCACACACACACACATCCTTAAAAGGCCCTCGCAGACGCTGTCGTTTTACAGTTCCAGGCAAAGAGAAGCTCTCCAGCCCTCCTTATCCCATTAAAATTAGACGGCTCTCACTCTCTCTCTCTCTCTCTCTCTCTCTCTCTCTCTCTCTCTATCTATCTCTCCCTCTCTTTCTCTCTTTCTCTCTCTCTATATATATATTATTTATTAATCTATATATATATATATTGTTGTTGTTTTTTTGGGCAAAATCCAGGCCGTTTTGTTCTCAGTGTGCATTTGCCAGGACACTCGAGTGAGAATCCATCCCCTTTTGCGGTTTAATGCAGACATTTCCTCTGAAAATCATCTGCTCCCCAACATTTAGGGTAATTATGGTTTATATTGCCCTGAGTAATTGGCTGTCTGGCTGTATAGGCATTTGTCTGCACCTGAAAAATGACCCCGATGCCTCTGCCAACAATAGGATAAACCGAGGAAGAATGGAACCGAAAGATTTATTTTGAGGGCGTTTTCTCGGAAGCAGAGCTGCTCTGTATTTCTAACCGAACGAATGTCTGGTTTCAATCAGGTTGTACCATCTGACGGCGTGGGGGGTGCCCCTGGTCATGGCCTCTTTGCCGCTGCTGCGAGGCTACTACGGGCCGGCGGGAGCCTGGTGGTGAGTCCCTCCACACAGCCCATTTTTCATCCCCCCTCGGCTAATTGCCGCGCCGCTCTCTGTCGGGAGCGGCCGTCGGCGTCGGCCTCATCCCAGCCGTCGCCTCTCCACCCCAGCGAGTTTAAAAACGGGGCAATTATCCGCACACGTGACCAGAGCAAATGCCTCCTCACGCTCACATATTGGCGAATCGGAAGGGCATTATTTGTTTGGAGGGGTGAGGAAGAGGGGAAGAGGCCGGGGACTGGAGGCGGCGGAGTGGGAATTGGGACAGAGCCTTAATCTCCGGGCTCGGCTCTCTCTTTCCACTCTCGGCTTATTAATAGCTGCAGCTGCACAGCTTTGCCCCTCCGCAGTCACACAAGTCTCTCTTCCGCTCACGCTCTCCCTCTTTCATTTGTAACCCGCTCATCGCTCTCCCTCTCCCTTTCTCTCTTCCCCCCAGCTGGATCACAGACGGTCACGTAGCCTGGAGATTTGGGATGTAAGTAGACCCTTTCAGCGCCGCCATCAAAGCCTCCCTCAGTGGGGGAGAGGAGAGGCGAGGGGAGGGGGGAGGAGGGCTGTCTCTGCGGGGAAATGTGAAGGGTTACATGTCAGGGGAGCCTGCAGGGTTTTTTTTTTTTTTCCTTTTTTTCCCCGTTCTTTTTTTCCCCCTCTCTTGGTACATGGCCAAGGAATTGGTGTTTGCGAGTGTGTGCGCGTGTGTGTGTGTGTGTGCGCATGTGTGGATGTGCTTGTCTGTCTCTGCCTTGTCAGATTTAGGGGGAGTTGCTACGTTGTGTATTTAAGTGTTTAGGACGGCTATGAAGGATTACGCCTGTCTGCTGCTTTCTGCAACTGGTCCTAAGTCTGCAAGTGCCCCGCCAATCCCCTGGCGCACACACTTAAACACACACACACAAACGCACAGCCCTTCTCTATGAGCCAAGGTAATCGCATTGCTGCTCGCAGCATCAGCAGGGAATCAATCTTTTTAAAACAAATAAGCGCGCGCACACACACACAGAGGCAGACTCACACAGACAAACAGAGAACAACACATAGCTATCAGCTGTGCTAAACGAGCCTGTGTCTCTGTTATCAGTGCTCGTCTGCTCCCCGGCTCTGTCTAGTTTTCCACGCTGTTGTGGCCCAGGGGGACGAGCCGCTCAGAGGATCAGGGAATCTTCATTAGCTCTAATTACATCAAACCAGACGAGAGATTAGAGGCCGAGGCAGCGCCCGTCAAGGAAAGGGAAGGAAGGAAGGGAGGAAGGAAGGAAGAGACGGAAAAAGAAAAAAAAAAAGCCACACGCAACCGCTGGAATACACACGACCCGCCGGCGGCTTGTGGGAGGGCAGCGCTTGTAGGGTTTGAGGTGAAAAGTGGAAAAGGTGGGAGGGCTGACATACGGGATCCACTCAGAAAGACAGGGAATTACTCAGCAGCCGAAGGAAACGGGGGGGGGGGGGG